TTAAGGATGGAATGTTCTGATGTAGGATTTTGTAGGTGCTGTGTTTTTCATTGTTGTCTGGTGTAGAAGTGATTGTAGTGATTGTTGCTACAGGTCCAAGTGCTGGACAGGTTTTGAAACAGCACGCAGGTTGTAGGATATGGATTGAGAGGGTTTTGAGGGAGAGTGACAGCATAGGTGGGAGTGGGAGTCACAGGACGAGGGGCTGAGGCTGAATTAGGATGAGAAGAAGGGGTGGGTGTGGAGGGAGCAGAAGTTGGTGGAGGTCTAGAGAATGTAGGAGATGGTGCTGGCAGTGAATGATCCTGTAGGATGTGTGTGGCTAACTTGCATGCTAGTGCGTGTTTGCCAGCTTGTCTCAGGTGGAGACCATGGTGGGTGAAGAGAGTCTCTGAGAGAAAGTGTATGTTAAATAAAGTAATTTGTTTGTCTCTCTGATGCTGTGTAAGTATGCTGTTTGCTTTCTTAATCTTGTTGTTTATAAGGGTGTTAGTGTTTTTGTATCAAGGGGGCAGAGTTGTCATAATTACATTTGTTTTCTGGGCAGCGTTTTGTATTTGTTGGTTTGGCTCTAGCTGGCTGTCATGGTTAATATCATTTTGACCACCTATTATAACTACTGTGTCCTGAGTTGTAAAGTGCTGTGTCAGTGTTTCCAAGTCGCTAGTCACATATGCCAAACGAGCTTTAGGCTTAAAAATGGCTGTGACTGCGTATTTGGAGGGAAGAAGCTCTCTAAATTTGGGGGACATGTTTCTGCCATGGCTATTAATTAATATTAACACTTTCTGTTTTGGAGAGTGTGTTGTCTTTGCCTGGTTGTGTTTGCAGGTCCAGTGATTATAATTAGTTTTGTAGTCCCTCTTGACACTGGAACTTGTGTTTTTTTTGTGTGTGCAAGAATGTTGTGTGTTTGTAAAACACTTTCTTCTTTGCATTAGTAAATATTTTATTTTGTTGTTACTTGTGAATGGTTTGTATTTCAACTGCTTGTATCCTTAGTATCTTGAACTGTTGATAGGATGGTTTGTGTGGATGTGGTATATTTTCTTTGTAGAGTATAAGTTTTCTCTATTTTGTTATGTAACTGATAATGTGATTAATTACACAAGTAATAAGTAGTTAATGGTTGGGTTTTGTTTCGAGTGAATATGTTTTCTATGTAAACTAGTTTTGTGTAGGTACTGTATTTGCATTTTTATGTACCAATAGTTTGCTTTGTAGTTGATAGAGATGAATTGTGAGGAAGCTGATGAAATATTGGTGACATTATTGTAGGATGAAATGTTATTAGGAAATAATGATTGTGAATGTGAATAAATGTAAGTTGACAAAGATGAGTTATCAGTATGTATGTCTGTCTATGTGTATAAAATTTGATATTCTCTCCTAGTTTTTAATCTTAGTCTGTGTAGTGGATCATGATTTGAAATATATGAAAGCATTAGTGATCTGTTTGCAAGTATACTTATTAGTTTGTGTTTCTATTTCTGTTAGAATTTGACTGCTTTACCTGGTTTGGTTTTAAAAAGTGTAAAAAAATGTATAATTTCTGGAAAAGCAATTTTGTTGTGTATGAATATTGTTTCTTGTTGGTTCCATTGAGCAATAGTGTGTGAATTAAAAGTAAGGAAAAGTGATGTTTTGATTGCATATATTGATGTTTTATTTTTTGTGTGTTAATAGATAACGCAGGTGAATGTGGTGATGAAGATAAGAGATGTGCACGAAGATGAGAACTATTTTTGAATATGAAATGAAATGTATTAGAGAATGATGTATTTTTTAAGTTTATAAATTGAATAAAATAGTGATTTGAAAAGTTAGTTCTATTGTTTAATTTATACTATACTAAATCTTGACTAACCAATTGAAACCCTATCCATCTTTGAAGTAGTGTAAGATGAAAATTAAATCCAATGACGACATGTAGTAGAGTTTAGTGGGTGAAATGCAAAGTTAAGGTAATGTGTTTCAGGTGATGTAATAGAATGGTATACATGGCAATGGTGTAAAATCTTTTTGTTTGAAGGGTATGTCATTGGATGTCATGTCATGTCATGTCTTTATGCTTAACTGAAAACTTTTTATTTGTAATTTTTCAATGGTTTTGCATAACAAGTTCAAGTTCATAGTTTGAAACTTGAATTACATGCTAAGTTGAATCAGTTCAAAGGTCAGTGATTTTGTATATTTGAAAGTGAGTTGTGCATGAGCATACCAATGTCTCCAAGTTGCCATGTTGAAATCTTCAATTGCCATTTCCCACCCATTTTAAATTTATCAATCATTTGTATGATCTTCATTTTGCTAAAAATGCCTTTGCAAGTTTTCCAGTAAAATTGGGAGACTGACTGACTGACTGCTATTGCAATGTGCTTTTTGTAGCTTAGCTTAGCAGTTATTAAATCAATGTATCTTAATTTATGAAGATAAATCTCTATGTAAAGTAATCTTGAGTTAATCCACAGCTCAGTACTCTTGTTTAAAGCTGTTAGTACGAGTGCTTTCCATTTCCTAAGTTCCTTTGTGAAGTAAGGATAAGTTCCAAATCATTTCTTGTATACTTCTTACTTACCTTCCTTCTCAGGTTACGTGAAACCTTGCAATGAAGGTCTTGAGCCTTGCGGCATATTCATAGTTGGAAGTAAGGGAACTTGAAGTTACACTTATACTACTAATGAGGTGGTAGAAATGAGAGTCAAGTGGCAGTGAAGAAACTTTATTTATTTGTAAGGTGTACAGCAGGAGTGAGAAGGGGGAGCCAGCCAGCCTGCTGTGCTGTGTCTGTGTCGCTCCTTAGCTCCTTAGCGTGGAGCGTCGGAGCCCTCACGGATTCTCTATGTGCAACCGCCCTGGGCCGGGCCAGGGGGGGCAGCTCCCACTGCTCCTCCACACCAACACCATCGACAGGATCTGCACCTTAAACAATACAAGTCAAAAAATTAACATCTACATTTATTATTATTTTTTTCTAAATATTAAAGAAAGGAAACAAGGAAAGGTATTAAGGAAAAATTATCTAATTAACAAGGCAAAATGAAGGACATGCCAAGGAACATTTAAGACATGGTACAAGATAAAAGAAAATTGAAAATGACTAAACCATCACGGCCAAAGTAGGTTTCATGAAAGGTGCACAGAAGGTAAGAAACAGGTAAGTTACAAGGCAGTAGAATTATTAAACAAAGGAAATAAAGACAATAGTTATAATTACAAAGCAGGATGGAGGAAATGCTAAGGAACATATCAGTTAAAAGGAAATTTAAACAAAATCAAGACACAAAGTACGTTTCATTCAAGGTGCACAAAAGGTTGGATAATAAATAGGTAATTACAAGGAAAAGGATTACAAACATGAAATCTAACCAGTATGGAAAGAGCTGCAATAAAATGGAACAAAGCTCACTCAAATACAACAGATTAGTAGGAACAAGGAAATAGGTAAAAAGTAATGAAGGATAGGTATTTCAAGAGGAACTGGGATACAGAACTTCATTCAAATCTTCAACTAAAATAGGAGCATTCAGAACAAGGAGGAAACAAAGGTAGATCAACTTGGATAAGAAAATGGGAAAAAAGGACACACTAAGGACAGCACAATCAGGAGTTGGGAAACAGACTGAACAAAAAGTACTAGATCCAAGGGAAAAGAATGGGAAGAACAGAGGAAGGACCAAAGGGTTATGGAAAAATTGACATTACTGTAAAATAATAAACACAAAGGAGAAAATTACACCTAGAAAAAATGGAAACAAGGCAAATGGATCATAGGTCATTTCCAACAAAGGTTCATAAAAACACAAACACATTAACAAAATTAACTATGCCATTCATGTATATTATGCAAAAGTAAAGATATTTAAATTGCATGTTGTCAGGTCATCTCTTTATATATTTTAATTTCTTCAAAGAGGAAGAGGTTATTGGAAACATCATACAGGAAATAAATGCAAAGGTGAAGAAAAGGTGCATACTTGCAAGATAATTTACAATTCAACCCTGCAAATGAAATTCAAAACTGTATATAATAGAAACAAAACAATTTTTAACACTAAAGGGAAATAAAATTGAGGATAAAAACTATTTCACTTTAAATGACCATCAACATGCAATGAATAGGCCTCAAGCTAAATCAAATCTATAACAAAACAAACAATCTAAGATCAAATAAGGAAAACAAATATACAAAGTCAGAGGAAAAGTAGAATAACCAGGCAATATTATTAACATAAGGAAATATCACATCACATTTCTTATCACATCAGGGCCAAATTACATTTCATTAAAGGTGCAGAGAAGGTAAGAAACAAGTAATTATAAGGAAGTAGAATTATTAAACAAAGAATTGAAGGATACTTATGAGGGGAAGACTGTTATAATTACAATGCAAGATGGACGAAATGATAAGGAACAGGACACAAAGTAGGTTTCATTCAAGGTGCACAAAAGGTTGGATAACAATAAGGTAATTGCATAGAAAAAGATTACAAACATGAAATCTAACTTGCAATAAAATGGAAAACCAAGCTCACAGTCAAATACAACAGTAAGCTTGGTCAGAAAAAGGGACAAAAAAAACGGATGTAGGATAGGGATTTCAAGGGCAAATAAGGGCATTTATAACGAGAAAATTAATGTAGATAAACCTGGACAAGAAAATGGGACAAAATAACACAACAAGGAGTTGGAGCAGGACGAGTTGGGAAACAGACTTCAGCAAAAAATTAATACATCAGAGAAAAGAATGGGAGGAACAAAGGAAGAACCAAATTTACAACTTCTGCAACATAATAAACACAAAGGAGAAAATTACACCTAGCAAGGCCAATCAGAACATTTCATAGGTCATCTCTAACAAACCTTCATAAGAACACACTGACACATTCAAAAAAGCTATGTATATTATGCAAAAGTAAAGAAATTTAAATTGTATGTTGTCAGGTCATCTCTATTTTTATTTATTCAAGGAGGAACAGTTTTTGGAAACTCCATTATAAAGGGAAATAAATGAAAAGTTGAGGAAAAGGTGGGTATTTGCAAGGTAATTTAGAATTCAACCCTGCAAATTAACTATGCAGAACCATAATAGAAATAAAATAATATTTAACACTAAAAGGATATAAAATACTCAACATAAAAACTATTTCACTTTAAATGACCATCTACATGCAATGAATAGGCCTGAAGATAAACAAAAATCAATCACAAAACAATTTAAGATCAAATAAGGAAAAAACATAACTAAAAAAAAAAGGAAAAGCTGAATAATCAGACATTATTATTAACATTAGGAAATATCACAGCACATTTCTTAATTTTTCCCTTCTTAAAACACATCACAAACCTACATCTCAAAAACCTATCTATATCATTTTCAATTCAACTATTTCAGATATTCATTATTTACTGTGAAGTCTACATATCATTAGCACATGGAAATTAGATATTATAGCACATGAATATAAATTAAATTACCTTCCAAGTTATCTACTTTACAAATGCGAAATGACAATGCAAATTATACAAACATTCAGAATTTTAGTTCAGTAAAATTGAAATTAATATTCATATTTATATTATCTGAATATTATTTAAATTCATCAAAGCTATATTCACTTACTTACATTTACTTCAAACCTTCACATTTAATTACTTCTCCCTATTCAAACAATGCATCCATAGCATAACATTGCACATTCCTAAAAAAACCCTTATCACCTCTTAATTAATTTACTCAAACAATTCCTATTCACTAACTATATATATCACACATGTCCATTCCATAACTTTACACCCACACTACATATAACTTCAATTGCTAACAGTCAACTTCAGAATTTATAAACTACACAAATTCCCTTACCTTCCAGGAACAAGTACATCAGCTCCAGAGGCACCATTCAGCAGGGGGCAACAAGGAACAACTGCCTCCAAATATTGAGAGGGAAATCATTTCTTTACACATTTCATTTCACAGATATTAAAATTTGTATACAAAACTTACTTTTGGTGTATTTTCACAAGAAATTGAATAATTAATTAAGCAAACATTTTTTTCATTATGCCACCTACTAACTTTAATAAGTTGGTGAACTTTTGTGCAGTACTATAAAACACCCACAGTAATGTCCACCATTGTCAATATCTTATATCAATTAAATTTTGCTTTTAAAATTCATTTACTTAGAAATTAAATACTTTAATACCTAAAATCTTCACCTATAACAATATTGCATGTTATGGCACTAAAATTCTGCTTTCAGAATCTAAAAAACACCCAAGTGATTTTAAATACCCAAGAAAAAGGTAATAAATACTTAACATTTGAAGAAAACAGCAATAATATATTTCACTGCACTTCCACCTACATTTACCAAATATCAAACAACATAGCAAGCAAGCAGAAGAAAATGCCTCCCATCTACCAGATATACCTCCTACTGATCAGCCTACACTGCACAATTCCCACCACATCTGGCATGGAAAAATATCCATATCAAACATCACAATAAAATGCCTTCCCTTCTGATGCACAAGAGCAGAAATTAGTGATGTAATGAAATCACACCTTTCACCTAAACACCCACTGCCTCAATAAGTGCCAGAGCCCACTGCTTTTTGTTTACAAATTTACATACATTTTTAAAGAAAAAACATTTAAAATAAGTCAAAGAAAAGACCAATATATTACGAATACCAACAAAAAAAAGGCCAACCAATTTTCAAAATATTACATTTTTCACCAATCCATGTACATATATTTATTGCCTTTCAAACTATTTCAGTCTAAATTAATATGGACTTCCCAAACATCAAATTTCTAGTCATAACACTCACATTAACTCTCAAAACGTAAGGTTCCATTTCCCAATTTATTATACACATAACACATTACTACTACAATTTCTTAGACAACAAGCAGCTACAATATACATTTTTCATATACTTCCATATAAGTTTTGGCATCATATGCATTGCACACAATACAATTAAAAAGCGAATTAAACAAGTATATGCCTGCTTTTCATATATTTCAATACAAATTTCAATTAGGAGTTATTGAAAACAAAGATTGAGATTTTTATAATACTTTTTTGCCCCTCCCAAAATCTCAAATTCATAACCACATTTCCCACCAGTACTCACCCTAGTACCACCACACAATGGTCAACATATTATCACTTTCATTCTAAACATTCACAATTACTTGTTCAACATTTCAAATTGTGCAAACCTTATGCCATCTATCCTTACAATTAATTGCATAGACCTGGCATTTTGAAACTCTCCTAACTTTGTCACATTCAAAGCACACTTCAATTTCACACCATCCCTACAGGATAATCTACTTTCCATCCTTTTTTATAAAACTGCATCAAACATAGCATCAAGTGCATTATGGGTTATGCTTAGCTCTCATTAGCAGGTAAATTCTTGTAGCTTATATTCATAATTAACATAATAATTATAATAATGAAATGGGAAATAAAAACTCCTAACAATCTAGCAATGGTATCAGCCATATTACTTAAAACTCAGGTTTAATAATTTCAAACACTTCCTTTCCCATCAAAATACCAATTGTAAAGAATACACATTAAATCATAATCAACACAATTGTATATTTTCTTTCTCCAATATATTTTCAAATAACATTTCATATTAAAAAGAATTACTTTCATAACAAGGGATTACAACTTATATCTACACCCCATCTCATTCTTGAGCCACCATTAATTACTAGTCACTAGAGGAGGACATACAAGTCAGAATTAGATACAAGCTATACAGTTCACTTTTGGTTATACAATGCTACCATCTTTTGTTTAATCTTCAACAATTTGTGACTTCTTTACTCTTCTCCATATTAACACATTACATGTAAAACTATAATTAATATTGAACTTGTATTGTTACATAAATGTAATTTTTTCAATCAATAAAATGTAATTACAAATTCATTGAAGCTTTACATTATTTTGAAACGAAATATTTCAAAAAGTGATAAAATATTGTATTCTACATACATGAAAAGTGCACAACACTAGTGTCAAAGTTCTTTTCAAAGCCACATCTTCCTTTCAACAAATTATTCCATGATTTTATGCAGTCCATACCACAAACTAATACTAAAATTAATAAGCACACATTGCAGGGAGATATTTCAGTGCAGGGGGGAAAGGGGTTAAACTTTGATTTCGTAATTTGTGGACAGTGGACCTTCCTTCATTTCTAACTTCAAAACATATTGAACCCATTACAAGGTACACTATTCCAATTATACAAAACCATTTTAAAGAAAAAATACAACAACCACAAACTATTAACAATTAACTTTAGTAGTTACAGGTGAAATATTCTGTTAACTAATGTGCAATATCATAAAAACACTATCTGACATTTTTAGACAACATTCTTTCGTAGACTATTAGAGAGCACCTTCAAATTCAACTACTCTTCCCCACACTTTCAGACTTGTGCATCTAATATAAGCAAAGAAACAAATAAAACCTGAAAAAAGTGGTTTGATCTCTGCAGATTGCCCTAAAAGCCACATTATTTTGCCAATCTACAGCATTTCTTATCATCCTTCATATGAACATCACAATCATCAGTTTCATTTACAAGCACATTAAACACTTACATACATTCTTCTTCAATATTGACAATATTAAAAAAATAAAACAGTCCAATGTCCAGTAACAATACAAATTACTTTTTAAATATATTTATCACACTTGTGTACTTCCTTTGTTTTTCACCCACACTCCTTTTGCAGTCCGATTTCTTCACAGATGATTCTCACACATGCTGGTAGGTTGAAAGACTGTCATTCTTATTTCCAACTTTTTTTTCCCCCTTCCTTTCTTTCATCAAAACTCACGGCTACAACAGCAGTGGGATCAATTTCTACTTTCAGTAGTTCCCTACATCTAGCAACTATGAGTAAAAGCATCAAAGAATTTAAGCCTACTGTTGATTCTCACTTCTTAAGACTTACAATATTTGCTCCTTGCAAAGGAATTGTCATCTGACAAACAGTTTTCATATATTCAACAACCTCAACAGAATATTGTACCTTGCATCATCACATTTAAGCAATCATTTTTTTACTCTTTCTTGTAATATTCACACCCTGAGCATTGAAATATTTCACCATTTCAAATTATTGATGCCAAGTATGATCAGATTAATCATTGCATTACTTATTATACACTTCACTCCATTCTTCAATTATACTTTTCACTGAGACACACAAAAACACACAAAATTAATGGTCTTCAAAATGTTATGTATTAGGACTCGATTCTCTATATTGAGACACTATAAAATGTAAGGCACACAAAACAGGAAATTTTTCATTCTCTAAGTAGGACCTACATCCATAAAAATCACAAGAAACAATACCTAACTATAGAATCTAGGTTCAGAGACAGAACTACCCTTCATATTCAATAAAAACTAAATCTTGGGACTACACAATGATACATACTTTCTTGGAATAGTTACTTTTCAATTTGGAACAATTTCAAAAACTTTCATACCTTCAGTCTTGCCACATTCTCTATCCACCTGCTATCACCATCCAATGAACACATTTTTAAAATTACTATATTTCCTAAATATTACTTTAAGAATCTTGTAGAAGACAAAAACTCATTCAATATGCAAGTTTTCATTGAAAAATTACACTAACTCAATAAGAGCAAAATAGCCTATTTACCACTACCAAAAGTTAAAGAAAACATTTGGAGCTATTTCAGATATTTTTTATATTTTTACTTTTTCACTTCAGAAGATGGCAAGTTGTGTAATGCTGCAAATAAAACAATTTTCAGCACAAAATATTATTACAGGGCCCTAGTAACAAAAATGGATAAATCATTACTACATTTAGAAAAAATATTTCCTCACCTGATGTTGCAATAATACAAGTTTTGTGGTCCTTGATACAGCAAAATTAAATGGCAAAACATCCCTCTGTCAGGAAATACCTGTTTAACCATTCACTCAATTTTCTCTACAATTTATAACTCTTCAATCAAACTGTCTGATATCACAATTCCTTTCATTTGAAACACTTTAATTTTAGGCTTTCTTTACACAAAGCCCCCAGGCCATTTTCAACATTTTCAAAAAATGGCCGTTTTTTATTAGGACATTTAAAACAATTGTGCAGGTCTCATTTTCATTGAAACCTAACTTTTCAAAAATTATTAAAGTTCACATTTTTCAAACTTATTTTCACGTCTACAATATTGAAGCTAAACATTTTTTTCCTTCATGAAATTCATTCCTTAAACATTTTTTTCACATCTTTTTTCAAATTTGTTCTCCTTCAACATTTGGGAAATATATGTTCACATGCATTATTAACATGTAAAGAAACCATAAAAATTTGGTTCTTTCTAAAAGTTATTTTTAAAACAATTGTCTTTTTTCTCTCTTTTGGACAACAAAAACATCACATTGAAAGAACAATAACAAAAACAAACCTACATTAGTGCAAGTATTGTGACAAAATTGCTATCTACAATGATCTCATTCTTAAAGATGGATGTTGGAATAAGGTCTTGCAGGGCCGGCGATTTATATTAATCGTGAGCGAGTAGTCTACATGCATGGGGTCCAGCTGCCCATTCAATCTCCCACTAAAAATTTATATAGAGGGAAAAATACAAAACTTTTTTGAAATTTTCAAATTCATCATTAACTTGTTATTACATTTCATTTTATATCACTTTAGAAGTTCATTTTTGCAATTAAAAGTTATGCGCTTTGCATTTTTTATTTAAACATTTAACAATTTTTGCAAATCGATGTTGTCGGACATGGCGCTATAAACTTGTAAAACCTCAACATTGAAGCCGATCTTGCAAAATATGCTCATTAATAGCAC